TACTACTACTACTACTACTACACAAAGGTCATCAGTCACAGAAGTCTTGCTAGCATGTCCGGTGAGGGGGGAGACTCCATCTGCACTCGAGGCCCGATTTTCATTCCCTCCACATCCTTCTGCCTGGGCCGTCGTCAGTGCCTTCTGCTGAAGCACCTGAAGACCACAAGGTGGGCCCTAATCTACGGACCCCTCGTGACGTGGACCAGATACCGTCTTGGCAACACCCCAATTCCTTTTATGATAAACTGGTCTGCTGGACAGAACCCAAGGCAGCAGCAACAAAGCCCTGAAGCACGAAGCCGTGCAGCGACTAAATCTGAACCTGTCGCCACAGAAAGCATGGACGTTCCCAAACACCCTTTACCAGAGCTGCCAAGGACCTAAGGATGAAGACATCCGGAACCTAAACTCTCCAAACCGCTTCAAGACCCCTCGCCAGCCTTGGAGGTCTTGGCGGTCCAGCTTCGCAGACCTTCGGAACGGAGCTCAGCGTAGCTCCCGGCAAGAGCGGCGCGGGACGCCTGGGCCTGCTTGCATGCAGTCTCTATACACTGCTACAGGCTGGAAGACAAACAGATCTAGCGTTCTAGCGAATCTAGCTCGAGAAAAACATCCGGCAAAAACCTGATCGCTTTGGGAAATATGGAAATAAGATAACAAAGAGGGTGGAGTGCTAAGCTACGCCTCACCTTGCCGGGTGGTCACGAAAGATCCCGTCTTTCCCAGTCAGCCTGACTCAGCACTGCTGCTTTTGCTGCTGCTGCCCCATCCATAGTCTCCTGACAAAGGCTGGTGCCCTGAATAACCCCTCGCAACACATATACACACATATGTCATTATATGTATATATGTATATGCATATGATATACACACACAGAGACCCACTCGTACAGATATTTGTCAAATGTTTGACAGGAACACAAGCCTGTTTCTCGACCCCTGGGTTTTGTACAAGCAGGCTCAGCCTGAACATTGTACGACCTGCGCAATCCAAAGCTGAAGCACCTCATCTGAAACGCGTCACACAGATTACTGGGTCGGGGCATCGAACTAGCTGAGTTCGATCTGGCGGTGAGTTGACAAAATGAGATGTCGGCTCAGCTTAACGTCCGTAGAGCCCTCAAGACCCAAATCCGTCCAACACCATGCCCACAAGTCTCTCCTTCATCTTGTTCTCTGCCATCTTTCGAGCAGTCTTTGCGGATGCTGTGACCTAAAGCCGAGCCAAGCATGCGAAAACACCACGCAAGGGGTCTAGAATCTAGAGGTATGCTGCAGCGAAAACGACGACCGGCGCAGAGGCAATCTTTAGTCAATCTTTTCTCAACTGTCTAGCAGAGTCTAGAGCCTGGCCTTAAAGCTATTCGGATGCATGAATGCTGTGCTGTGGTTTTGTGTGTCGCGCACGCAACGGTGACTGGCACCCGAAAACCCCAAAAAGTCGCAAACTCGTTTTGTTTTGTGTCACGCGACCAACGCGAAAATTCGAGCTGTTTAATGCGTGTTTTGTCTCAACCCAAAAAAGCGAAAACTTGAAATTCCGATTTTTTCGAATTTTAGGATTTTCGAACTAACTCGTGCCTTGTTTCCTCTCAATCCAAAAACGCGAACACTCGAAAATTCAATTTTCGACTTGCGGAATTGTCGAATTAACTTTTGCTTTCTTGCATTTCCAAAAAAGGGGAAATCTCAAAAATCGATGTTACTGTTTTTTGTCGTAAGTGCATTCGCAGTGCCACCGTAATCGTGCTAGTCGTAGCACTAGCAGCAGTAGCAACGTAATAGCGGCACTAGCGGTGTTGGCAGTAGTGGTGGATGCGGGTGGTAGTAGTGGTAATAGCAGCATCAGTAGTAGTAGCAGTAGTAGCAGTAGTAGCAGTAGTAGTAGTAGTAGTAGTAGTAGTAGTGGTAGCAGCAGCAGCAGAAGCAGCAGGAGCAGGAGTAGTAGTATATAGTAGTAGTAGT